CTCCTTACACTGTGTGTGCACTCCTTACACTGTGTGTGCTCCTTACACTGTGCTGCTTCTTCCTGGCCTGCATGTGAGTGTCAGTATTCTCCACGGATTTTCAAGAGGAAGAACTGATTTGGCATACTTTTCTTCAGAGATATGGGTTATGTGTTCATTTTTGGCTATCCAAGGAGTTTCCCAAAGTTTCAGAAATAGTCCTGCCAAACCTATTTTTCCTCATTTTGGAAAATACATAGAATTATGGAAAAAAAGTCATCAAGAATTTTAGTAGCTAAAGATACATGATAGTAAAATGCTGCTGCAGCTTATGAGACAATCTTATTTTCTAGACATGACCATTTTGGTTTGGCAACTCAGCTGAAATAACATTGAATAGAATTTAATGTTTTCTCCCTTTTATGTTGAGAGAAGCTATTTACTTTTCTACAAATCATTCCAGAGTCGCACCCCCCCCCATCTGGGGGTTAGCACTGTGCAGTTCACCCTACAGGATAAAGCACACACGCGATGGTACAAGTGTTTGAATGAGGAAACAGTGCACAGTCTCAGATGTGGGAACGCAGATTTGGAAGCCCTGCCAACACAAAGTGGCTTTCTTTACCACACAAGCTTGGGCAAGCTTCTCTTTCTACAGTCGGTCGGGTTTTGTTTTTACTCTTACTGTGACTTTTCACACATACTCTAGCAGCTGAACGGCACTGAGTTCAGAGGCACCATGACCCTCCTCTGGCCCCTGCCTTCCCTGCTGCAGTGCCCTGGGACACCCTCTCACATAAAGTGAAAACCCCTTTGCTTCCCTCTGCCCATCTTGGCTTGTCCTCAGGGTCACGGGCTGGTTGGGTTGCAGGCACAGGCACGTTGCGGACAGGTTTTGTTTTAGCGTGAGCGCGTAGGATTAGTTGAACTGACAGGTGAGCTGGGATCTCCATCCAAATCCCACAAAACAAACAAAAAGCCAAACAATAGAGGGTGCTGCTCTAGCCCATTCACCTTCCGGGTGAAGCTGTGGTTTCCATGAAACACAACGTGTTTTGTTGTTGTTTTCAAGTAGTGCTCTAGCCTTCTGTTTGGGACAAATATCACTGCTGTGGGTGGTTGAGGGGATCAGTCCTAGAAACTAGATCAGTCTTCAAGCACCTTGATTTCTCTCTTCCCCTTGCTCTCCTCATCAGCAGTCACCTATTTCACCATTATGGAAAAAGCCCACTCTCATTTACAAATTCTTTCAAGATGCATCTTCCTGCTGTAGAATAGTTCTTCTGTACACTGTGTGAATATGTCTCACTGTGATTGGTTTAATAAACAGGCTGACTGGCCGATAGCTGAACAGGATAAAGTTAGGCGGGAAAGCCAAACTGAGAATGATGGAATGAGGAAGGGAGGAGTCAGAAGAGTCACCAGCCAGATAAAGAATGAGTTGGACAGACAAAATGGGATGGAGGTAAAAGCCACAAGCCTTGGTGCAGCATATAGATTAATAGAAATGGGTTAAGTTGTAAGAGCTAGTTGTAATAAGCCTGAGTTAACAAACCAAGCATTTATAATTTATATTAAGTCTCCAAGTCAATTATTTGGGAAGCAGCTGCCAGTTATTTGGGAGCAGGAGGTTGGGACAGGAACATTCTGCTTACATCTTCCTCTATGATGATCTACTATTCGGCATGATCTACTGTCTTCCAAATCTAATCTGCATTTGCTTTTCTGGTGTATCTCTTTTCTGCTTTCACTGATTTATTCCATTGTCCTAACATTTAATTGTCCTAAAAGTTTAATTGGATTTTATTTGAGGAAGGGGAATGGTGAATTCAGACTACCATCTTGAATTAAAAGAGTTGTTTTCTCCTTTTGATACACAAAAGTTTAATTTTAAGTCTCAAAATGGGACAAACATTAGCTACAACACAAACTATTCAATGTCATCAGATGTGAGAGGTGACAATTTTAGAATTAATACTTCAGTATTTTTGAAGAAACAATATCCCACTCTATGCTAAATGTTCACCTCCACAAATTTACCAATACAACTATTCACATAACTCATAATACTAACATCCCTATAAACACACCTTACTTCTAAACATTATTGAGAGAATATTGTTCTTTGGGGTTCTCCATTTGACTCTGCTAGGACAGCTCTAGACTCAGAATCACGGGCAGTTACAATGAGATTGGCTGTTTACTTTTAGGCAGACCTACTCACGTTGGAAAAGAAAAAACAGATCACACAAACTAACCAGTGCAAGGCCACCAGCCCACACCAGGCCTGGACGAGCCCTTACGCTCTCCTCCCATGCACACACCCAGGTCTCTCATGCTGTCAAAAGTGTTTCTCCCCTTTCTTCACAGCATCTCTTTTCTCTTTATCACTTCTCTCTCTGTAGAGGCACAAACCCCGTCTGTCTTCTTATTTTCAGCTGCTCCCAGGTGCCCAGCCTGTCATAGGTGCCCAGTACACACTTCTTTACTGAATGGATGTTGCTTCACTACAATCCATGAACTTCTTCAATGTAACCCCTTATAGCAATAGGAGAAAAAGCAAAGGTAGTATTTATGTGGCTTGAAATGACAGACCAAAGATCATAACCATGTCTATTTGGGGAGACTGCCATTCTCAAATTCTCAAAGCATCCACATTCAAAATAACAAAAGTTGAAGGTCACCGCCTTAGCAAAAGGCATGATGTAATTTTTGCTCCCTATCTCCAGGCCCTTACTGCCTGTTCCCTCTGGCCTCATTTTACTCCTGTAGATGTGTGTGCATACCCTCAGGCATATTTTAGCTCTAGATGTCTATGAGGTTCGGCTCTAAGGGCAGTGAGAGGATGGAGGAAAGTCCGACCACCAGGAGACAGGACTTGCTGATGTCCTTTCATACTCCACCTTTTCAGCAGGAAAGATGTGCTGTTTCATGAACTGCTTCACCTTGGTAAGAACTTCCTGGCCTCTCCTGGTCTGTGCAAACAACTGGTTTTTAGGGTCATCCTGTGGCAGTACAGTACTAAAAGTTCTTGACAAAAGGAAAAAAAAAAGGTTACAAAGATGTCCAGAGTCATTATTATATATTTCTGAAAACAAGGCAAAGTCTCCCAGCTAACCAAAACTGTTCTCAGGAGGAGTTGCCATATCTGGGAGGTTTGGGCTTACTGTTGGTGAATTCTGCTTCATTAGCTGTCTGCAGCTCGAGGGAGCAAACCCAGAGCCTTGCACATGCCAGGCAGCTGCTGTACTGTTGAGCTACAACCTTAGCCCCATGGGCTTTTTTTGTTTTGCTTACAGTATGGAGTAAATGTAGAATTGCTTTATTCTGAACACTAAGCGTGAATGCTACTCGGGAAAACACAAGCCTCGTATGGCCTCAATCAATGCTTGCTTTGGTGACGTCAGCTGTCACAACCACAAAGGAACAAGGATGGTGTGCACAAATCTGACCACTATTCTTCACACTTTTTTCACAGATACCACTGCAGGGCATTTTAAAGATGACCTTAAAAGAAAATAAATAAATAAATACAACGGGCCCTTGTTCTGTTGGAAAAATTACACAGAGCATTCTAGAAATGCGTTGTGAAAAACAACTGTCCCAACATTGTGTCGGGGGGAGGTGGGGCTTAGGAAATGGTCCTGAGGTGGCATTCAACACACATTATAGAGAGACGGGGTGAGACTGGAAAAGTGCTAGACTCCTCAGAAATGCTGCCCAGATAGAGAGAGACAGAGTTTCAAAGACACTTGCAAAATGTTAAAGAAAAAGCAGTATTGCTAAGTTAATAAATAATCTAATATTTAAATAGGTACGTGTAAGTAATAAATATTATAGGGAAACATGTTGATCTATATACTTAAAAGGTTATAGATTCAAGTTGGCAAAGAATACATTTAATCATAAATATGAGTATTTTCTTTACATTTTAGGTCAACTTATTTTTAGGGATACAGTGATTTATTAGAAGACTATCCTGACTGGCAATTAGCAGCTCTAGTCTGGGCAGTGATATAATTTTCCATTTTAGTAGAGTTTTAATCTTATCATACCCAATAATTATTTTAGTACAGAGTGAAGAGCCCAGGCTGTCTCCTGGGTTTCTGAGAACTTATGAGACCTAAGTAAGAGAGGCTGTAAACTGAGTTACCCAAAGACTTCGCTCTCCTTACCTTTTAGAGAGTTGTAATCCAGTTTCTGCCAGGGGCTGAACAGTATTGGCCATCAGAAAGCTATCCGCAGATGAATTATTTCCCAAGAGGTATCTTCTATAGACTCCCTACAAGTAAATTAACATGGGAAAATTAAAAATCTATTGTCTTTCCAGTTTGTCATCCATGTGGGGAACTAAATTCACTGAGGCCAAAGATGTCAATCAGACCGTTGAGGCTGGAAACTTACAAGCAGAGGTAACCATGTGCCTCTGAGTTAGAGTCACACTCATATCATGTAGTTGTGACACTCTAATCTAGGCAGAGGTGTAACTGATCACTCAAACCAAATTGAAAATGACCCCAGCCACTGCCAAAACAGCCAACCTGTAAGCCACGCCATCTGTAATGATGACTGCTTTCCTTTCAGAGCTATCAAAATGAATCAAACGCTAAAACCCAGGAGAAGGCAATGAGACGTTTAGTATCATTTTTGGCCCCCAATTTGGGTAAAACTGTCTCATTGAGCAGTGTTAGCTGAATGCCAATCAGCTTTTTCACAATTCTCCATTTCTGTACTTCTGACATAATACACCCCCTCCCCCATGTGACGGCTCGTCTTCATTGTCAGTTTGCCTGGGTTTTAGAGTTGCCATGGGAACACACTTTCTGGGAAAGAGGTGAGTGCCATGGGTGCTTTCCAGACTAAAATATGGGAGAAGACTTTTCAGCCTTCAGCACAGGCCTTTAGCTTGCTTTTCCACCAGGCACTCACAATGCTCCTTTCTCCCACCTCTTCCTACTTTGTCATTATGTGTCTTCTCTCACTGTCCTTGTTTGTTATACAAAACAATCATAACACATGTGATCCTCAAATTTTCTTCCCATTCAAGTCTTTTTTGTAAATTCTAAATTTACATGTTACTCATCTCTGACTCTTGTCTTTTGGAAGAGCACAGCGGCCCTAAGAACCCAAACAAAAAGGTTTGAACCAGAAAACATTGTGTTGTGTTTGTTTTTGCTCTTTTGGCTCTTTTGAGGGGCCCCACCATCCAGCTCCCAAATAAATACACCGATGCTTATTCTTACTTATAAAATGCCCAGCCTTAGCTTGGCTTGTTTCTTGTCAGCTTTCCTTAACTTACATTATCCCATTTATCTTTTGCCTCTGGGCTTTTCCTTTTCTATTCCTGTACACCTTTCTTTGTTTCTTACTCCATGGCTTGCTGTGTAGCTGGGCCCTGAGTCGTCATCGTCGTCGTCATCGTTGTTGTCATCGTCATCATCATCGTTATTGTCCTCCTCCTCCTCCTCTTCCTCCTCCTCCTTCTCTCCCCTCTCTGGATTTCTCCTTCTTTTTTTTTCTCTCTGCCTGTCAGCCCTGCCTATCCTTTCTCCTGCCTTGCCATTAACTGTTCAGCTCTTTATTAGACCATCAGGTGTTTTAGACAGGTACAGTAACACAGCTTCACAGAGTTAAACAAATGCAACATAAACAAAAGTAACACCTCTTAAAATAATATCCCCAACATCGTTTATAGTGCATCAGTAAAAAATGATGAAGCTCTTGCTTAAAATCATTACCTGTGCTATTCCAGCCAACTTAAAAAAAGAAAGGGCCATAAAGAAATTCCAGTTAGGAAGATTAGGATCAATTTCCCTGCGACGGCAATATATCGAAATCAGTTCCTCCATCAACGGTATTCCTATAAAAACAGCACACAGCATAAACTTCAATAAAAAATGCCACATTGGACATTTCAGAATGGCATAATATTGCACAGAAGATACAATATGGCATGCAGTGCAAACCCAGTCATCATTAAGCCTGTTCTAAACATTGATTCCCTAAAAAATATATGCAAAAAATTGTGTATTGCCAAAGATTATAAACAGTGAAATGCTAAGTTCAGAAAACCAGTGAGATGAGTTAGAAACGTTTTTAAGGAACAAAATCCTCATAAAACTGCCAGAAACTTATGTTCTTCAGCTCTGACAGTAATAAGGAGGAGTTTATATGAAAGGCAGTTTGGGTAGCTGCTCCTCTGTACCTGTGTTCTCCTGAATGGGAGAGCCTCCGTTTAACATGGGCAGTGTCCTGGGCCAAAAGTAAAACAAGGACAGGTGGGCTAAGTCCGACAAAGGGTGGCCGAGGGTCGAAAGCTCCCAGTCCAGCACTGCTATAACGCGACTCTGCAACAAGATGCACACAAGCCTTTGACACAGTGAAATGAAATCAAATGGAGTAAGGAAGCAGGGGACACAGTACATCCAACAATGGTATTTCATCAGAATGCAACATGAGGTCATAGTTGGTAGTCCTTTCCCACAGTGGCACATCTCATGGAAACCAACCAGCCTCAATTGTCTAGAGTCAGCGTCTCTGGTTCTACCGAGGGCTGCTAATCCTTCTGCACTCCGCCCTGACATCTCTGCTAACAGACAGATGCAAACACAGCTCATACTTCTCAACCAGAGGAGCTGTGGTAAAGCAGAAATTCTAATGATTAATTGTGAGAATTAATGTATAAGCAAGCATATGGTGATGAATCTAACTATGTAATAAGTATACCATTACAGCAATAATATTTTAAAATTATATAAACTTATCAAGAGAGAGCTGACTCCCTCAAATTGTCCACACACAATGCAGCATGTGTGTGCCCTGAGTTCACCACACACAAGATAAGCAAATATATTTTTAAAAAATTCTAAAGGTTGCCAAATAATCTTCAGAGTTGAAATGATATGCACTAAGCTAACAGCAATGGTTTACTTAAAGGGACTAAGGTTGGCTGAGGGGTGGTAGTGCACACCTTTAATCCCAGCACTTGAGAGGTAGAGGAAGGTGGGATCTCTGTGAGTTCAAGTCTAGCCTGGGCTACAGATCGAGTTCCAGGACAGCTAGAGCTGTTAGAGAAATCCTGTCTCCAAATAAATAAATAAATAAATAAATAAATAAATAAATAAATGAGGGGGGACTAAGGTTGAGGGTGAAGTGTGGGAGCCCAAAAAGATTCCAACTTATGGGTTAACTCAAGGTCAGAGAGGCAGAGTTTATGTTGCTCTCCAAGGCTGCATAATAGGGTGCAGGGGCATGGTTACCAGGTGTTTTATATTTCAAGGCCTAGTCACAAGATGCTTTGCCGTGGGGCATGGTTGTCGGGTGTTTTGAAGGGTCTACAATTGGTAGTACGTTGTGCTTTGATTTTGAAAGGGGGAGGTCTTTTGCCTCATCCCTTGCTAGTGTATAAAAATCCCATTAGCAATAAACTCCAGGGTGCTGGGTATTGACCCAGGGCCCTCCCGAAGCTATCCTGCGTCTCTTTCTGTCTACGTCTATATTTCTTCCTATTATTTCTCAATTCCTCATTCCCCTCTTCAAGGGACCCTTTGATAGGTCAGGGCTGAACCCCAACCCTGAACCCAGACAGTGAAGTGCAGAGAGTGACACCTCAATTAAGAGAATTCTATACAGCGGCATGACAGCATGGAGCTTGCATTCTGAAAGGGTCACTCCACACGCTATGTTATGACTGACTGAGGGGATTGTAACAATGACTGAGGCAAATGATCCATTGCCAGATGAAAGCAATGTGAGTCAGGGTGTCCCAAGCCTCCCACCACCTCTGCGTGTGGTTTGACTCCCTTGATTCTTTTGAAAAGCTAAGACATAGTATTGTAGAGTTGTGGCTATTTTTGTGGGTTCTGAACCACACAGATCTATATTCAAATCAGAGCCTAGGTTACAGAGTAAATGATACTGTCTCAAAAAAAAAAAAAAGTAAAGAAAGGAAAGGGAAACACAGGTTATTGGTCATTAATGTGCTTGCCCAGGTCTTGGTTCAATCTAGAGGCACTGAAAAAAAAAAGTCTTATTAAGATATAAACTTATAACCCAAATGATATTATGCAGCAAAAATAAATTAAAAGTTTAAATACTAAGTATCCTATACTTAGGACACAACCTAATTCTCACACATACCTTCAGTCTAAATATTTGATTTAACTAAATACTAAAGACAGTTTTGAAATAACAGATTGTGGCCATTGAACCTGCTGGGTAAAATGTCAAATGAAGTCATTCAGGAATCATGGAGCCTGAAGAAGGAGCAATCAAATCTGCAGCATCTCACAGGAGGTAGAAAGAGCTACAGGAAGGGGTTGGAGAGATGGCTCAGCAGTTAAGAGCACTAGCAGCCCTTCTAGAGGACCCAGGTTCAGTTTCCTGCGCCCACATGGCAGACCACAACTATCTGTATCTCTAGTCCCAGGGAATTCCACACCATTTTTTGACCTCCGTGGGTACCAGGTAAAGATGTGGTATATAGACATATGTTGTGGAATATTATTTTAACTGGGCAAAGATGTGTTACATTTGTTTATGCTGCAGAATATTACTTTAACCATGTAAAGACGTGTTACATTTTTGTTTATCCTGCATTTGCTTAATGCTGTAAAGATGTGTGTTTAATTATGTAAAGATATGTTGCATCTGTTTCACCTTGCCTAAACTACCTGATTGGTCTAATAAAAGGCTGAATGGCCAACAGCTAGGCAGGAGTAAAGATAGGCAGGGCTGGTGGGCAGACAGAATAAATTGGAGGAGAAATTTAGGCCTGAGAGGGAAAAACAAGAAAAGAAGGAAGAGAGAATGAGGGACACCCCTTGGGCAAGAAGCTAGCCACCCAGACATAGAGGAGCAATGAAAGTAAGCTATACAGAGGTCAGAAAGGTAGTAAGCCCAGAGGCAAGAGGCAGATAAAGAGAAACAGTTAATTTAAGGTAAAAGAGCTAGCCAGAAATGTGCTTAAGCTAGGTTGAGTTTTCAAAACTAATAACAAGTCTCTGTGTCATGATTAGGAGAGCTGGCTGGTGGTCCAAAAGAAAAAGCCTGGTATAGACATACTTTTGGACAAAACACTCAGACATATTTAAAAAAAGAAAGAAAGAAGGGACAGGTGGTGGTGGTGCACACCTTTAATCTCAGTGCTTAGGAGGAAGAAGCAGGTGGATGTCTGTGAATTTGAGGCCAGCCTGGTTTATAGAGTGAGTTCCACGAAAGCCATGGCTACCCAGAGAAACCCTGTCTCAACAAACAAACAAACAAACAAACAAACAAACAGTAAATAAAACTAAAAAAGAAAGTGTGGTGGGTTGAAAGAAAATGGCCCGAAAGAAAATGGCCCCCAAAGGGAGCGGCACTATTAGGGAGTGTGGCCTTGTTGGAGGAAGTGTGTCACTGTGGGAGCGGGCTTTGAGGTCTCTTTTGCTCAAGCTCCCCTCAGTGTGACTTTCAATTGACTTCCTGTTGCCTGTAAGATGTAACACTCTCAGCTCCAACACCACGTCTGTATGCACACCGCCATGTTCCCTGTCATGATGATAATGGACTGAATCTCTGAAACTGTAAGCAAGCCACCCCAACTAAATGTTTTCTTTGTAAGAGTTGCCATGGTCATGGTGTCTCTTCACAGCAATAAAAACCCTAACTAAGAAGAAAGACTGAAAGAAATAATAGAAGCTGTGTGAACCTATAATCCCAGTACTCAGGAGGCTGAGGCAGGAGGATGGTGAGCTTTGTTGTGGGATAATCTTTTTGTACACTATGAAGATGTCTCTGCCAAGGCACCTTCTGATTGGTTTAATAAAGAGCGGAAGGGTCAATAGCTGGGAGAGGATAGGCGGGACTTCTGGGTAGAGAGAAGAACTGGAGGGTGGGGGAGAACCTGAGAGGCACGGAATTCACCAACGAGACACAGAGGGAGTCAGATGTACAGTATGGAGTAAGGGTAAAGAGCCACGTGGCAGAACATAAATTAATAGAAATGGGTTAAATTAAGTTGTAAGAGCTAGTTGGGAACAAACCTAGGCTAAGGTCAAGCTTTTATAATTAATAAAAAGTCTCCGTGTCATTATTTGGGAGCTGGCAGTCCAAAGAAAGTCCAACTAGAGTTTGAGGCTAGTTTGGGCTACATTTCAATGTCCTGTCTTTAACAAAAAAAAAAAAAAAAAAAAGAAATAAAAGAGTACAGAGTATGGTATGCATGATAACAGGGCGTTTCAGTTTCAGATGACCAACTGATCGGTTACATGAGAGGCTGCAGGGGCCGGGGGTCCATGCGGCATTGAAGTTTGATGGTCTAATGTGGAAATCAGACTTCCACTGTCACGAACTGACAGCATGTCTGTGAGCCCTCAGAGCCACAGGTTTACCCCCAGTGGCTGGCATTACTAGTTAGAGTCACAAGCCTTCCTGATGGGATCAGCCTTCATAGAAGAAAAGGACATCCTCTAGATTGTCCCCACCCACCCCTGCGCAATGTGAGGACAGGGACAGGGAAGAAGGCCAAGTGCAAACCCAGGGGATGCTGCGTCTTATCCTGGGCTCCTCAGCTCAGAACTGTGAGAAATGCTTGTTTGCTGTGATATAAGGGCCCAAATTGTTTCTGTTTCTCTCTGCTCTGGATTTTCTCAACTGCCTCTGGATATTTCTTCTCTCTTATTCACAACAGAAACCCTTCCCTAAGAATGGAGAAGTCAAGTTGGCAGTTTCTTTACTGTGCCTCCTTGCACAAAGTAACCAGAGTGCATGGCTGAGGAATGTGCTTTTTCTGACCTACCCCACACATTCCTGGAAGGTTTCTCACCAAAACTGTTTCTGTTTTATGTCCTAACCATCATATTCTAATGACCAAAACAAAAATTACTGTGTGTTTTTTTTTTAAACTTCAACCTTACAGAACAATCACAGTTCAATTAAAGATCTTTTCTAATTCCCTCTCCAATTCCAAAATTTTTAGTGCATGTGCTGGGTGGGTTGTCTGGGAAGACAGAACCTCAGCTGAGAAAGTCTCCATCAGACTGGCCTGGAGGCAAGCCTTGCGGGGTGGGGCCTCCTGATTAATGACTGATGTGGGAGGGCCCAGCCCTCTGGGAGCAGTGCCGCCCCAGGGCAGGTAGGTGGTCCTGGGTTGCACGTGAAAGCAGGTCTTTCCCTCAGTGATGGGCAAGGGTCAGAAGGCGTGAGCCGAATAACCCTTTCCTCCCCATGTTGCCTTCGGTCAGAATTTATCATCCCATTACAAAACAAATTAGGACGTGCATATTATGAGACGCAAATGTTCCTTAAGTTTCCACGAAGAATAGGGCTTGGCAGGCACTCACAGAAAGGTAAGATGGAAGCAGAGGAGGAGGAAGTGGGAGGGAAAAGGAGGGGTGGGGGGCTGAAGGAAGCAGGCATCAGCTGTGTATCGGGCCCAGTGAGTTGAGACCTATGTTACGGAATGTGGGGGACAGGCGGAGGCTCTCTGGACCTCTCTATATTACCCTTCTGTTTCCTTCCATTTTAACCCCCCGCCCGACAGGGTTTCTCTGTCTAACAGCGCTGGCAGGCAGTCCTGGAACTTGCTTTGTAGACCAGGCTGGCCTCGAACTCACTGAGATCCGCTTGCCTCTACCTCCTGAGTGCTGAGATTAAAGGCGCTGTGTCAACACACCTGGCTTTAAAATTCTTTTTAAAAAATACTTTAAATTTTTATTTTATTTATATGTGTGTGTTGCCTGCATTTAAATGCCATCACATACAGGAAGTACCTGAAGAAGCCAGAAGGGGGCGCTGGCGAGCAGCCAGTGCTGTTAACTGCGGAACTCTCTCTCCCATCCCCAGGTTTTTATTTTTAACTCTTCGTGCTGGTTCACTCAGGATCGCTCCTTTTATACCTAGTCGTACAGTTCGCTCGACTAATATATCGGCACGTGGGGCTAGATTGTTCTCTTGCTTTTTCTCAATTATTTTTTTCTCTCCATCTGTGTTTTACGCTCATTAGGGGATGTATTTCCTTCCTGATGAATGTCTCAGAGCACAGAGTTGGTAACAAGTGAATGCTTGTTGACGTGAATTCTGACGCCACGTTACTTCCACGAATTAGTTAATAATATTTACTAGTGGCAGAAGTTGACTGAATTCAACATAACTATTAATTATTTGATTGAAAATATTTTTATTAATATATAACCTGAAAACATAAAGATAATGATACATGTAACAAATTAGGATTGCAGATAAATAGGTAAAATCTGTATCTACTGCTTTCTTTTTTAAAAAGCAAGATTTATTTTTTATATTTATTTATTGAAGTGTGTGTGTGTGTGTATGTGTGTGTGTGTGTGTGTGTGTGTGTCTTGTGTACAGGGCCCACAGATGCCAGAAGGTGTTGGCTCCCTTGGAACTGGAATTATAGATGGTTGGTGGCTTCCCTAGGTGGGTGGTGGGAACTGAACTCAGGTCCTCTGGGGGAGCAGTGAGCTCAGGAATCACAATCCATCCCCCCAGACCTCCTTGCTTTCTCTTTACAAACAATCCTTTCCCAGACACTTTGATACATGGCTTGTCTGAAGATAGATGATGCCCGTTTTGGTGTCTGCACTGGGTTTAAAATCAGAGATTAACTACACAAGTAGGAAACAATCCAGTATTTCCTACAGTTGACTGTCAGCTTTAGTATGTTAGGACTAACTCTAAAATTTAAATATCTTAGTCAACAACACATAACCTGTAAGGATCAAGGTTTGACTTCTTCCTGTTTCTTACTTGCCTTAAATGAAAACTAAAAGTACCCAGAGTTACAGAACACAGAGGACTCTGGCATATTGAAAGGCAGGCTCTAAAATATCAATACATCAAATCACATATATTAAAGACAGATCAGACTCTGCTGTTTTAAGGTATAAACTGTTATAATTTTCCAGGGCACAAATTAGCATTGCTCTATTTCTTAAGCATAAAGTGGGAAGCTGGCAAAGTTAAATTCAGAAATTAGTGCCATTGACAAAAAGTTTTACACACACACACACACACACACACACACACACACACACACACACACATATGCACGCACGCACGCATGCACGCATGCGCGCACACTGTACTTCTGATGGTTAGACAATGGTTTTCTGACTTTAACGTGGCACAGGGACCATTTATACTCAGTATAAACCACACTTTGAAATTTCATCTTTCCTGCTAGCAATCTGAGGCACTGTGCTCTCTCGTCATGCTTGGCAGTCGGGCAGACACACCATTACTCGGGTAAGCAACTCACATTCTAGAGTGGACTGTGCTGCTAAACTTAATGCCCTAGGTATCCTAACTGTATCTTCAAATTAGGCTACTTCAGCTTATACCAGCTACCAGGCTATAACCCTACTGTACGATGGGGCTGTGCAGCCACACCCAACACCCAAGCTGGCTTTTCTAGGAAAACTTTACTGACCTGCTGGTAAATGTGCTTACATGTGTTTATAAAATTCAGTTGATGCAGTTCTATGTTTAATTATGCCCATCATGCTATATATAGTATTTTCTATTTCTATATTTCTATATATACTATTTATATAGTATTTTCTATTTCTATATTTCTATATATACTATTTATATAGTATTTTTCCCTGCACTCTTTCTAAAGGGGAGAGACAGGAAGTAAGAAGGCCCAGCACATGAGCAATGCAAGTCCTACAAACACTTAACACCAGGAGGATTAATCAGCTAAGGAAATCCTCCTCTAGGAAGTAAGACTCACGGAACTATAAATCTTCACTTGTTTGGGTTCTATCCAAAGAAGCACTCTGTGTATTTACACAGGGAAAGGTTAGGTTAATCTCATGTAACTCTTGGGTGGAAGCCTCAAGGGGGCTTCTGGGATTCCTCCCTGAGCTTATACTAAACAAATGACAGATTCTCATGACACGGGACAGAAGAACTCAGAGGAAATGTAAGGGAACTAGAAGAAAGAGCTAGAATATGGGCAAGCTAAGCATTTTAGGTAGTAGACTGAAATCTTTGACATGAGGGCATCTTCCAAGCCCTGCGTAAGTGATGACTATGATACTGTTGAAGATTAGGACCAGCCCCGAAGGCAGACAGGGTCCTATGCTATAACATCTGCAGGACTCATCTCCAGAGGCTTTGAGTCAGAGACAGTATGAGCTGTGGGCAGGAACAGACTGTTCTAGGCTCCTTGAGCACTCTGGAGGTGGGAGTTGGGGGACATCAGTTTCCTTCCAGAGTCTCAGGTCAGCCCTATACAACACATCACAAACACGGCTCACAGTACCTCTTTGGGGTGGAAAACTATGTTATCCAGCTTGAAGTCTCCGTGAATCAGGCTCTCCTCATTGTCATTATGTGGCAAGTTCTTCATTAGCCACTTGGAGAGCTGGTCCATGGCAGGGATGTCCTGATGGGCTGCAGCCTGGTACTGCTTTGTCCAGGTGGATACCTGATGGTATAAATGAGAAAGTGATAGACGGGAAAATAGAATGTGGGAGTCGGTGATTCTCAAACAAATCCATCTATGCCTAAGTCCATTTGACTCCTAATCACTTAACAGAACATCCCCCAAGTGAAACTCCTAGAAGCCTGAAATGCTCCCAGCCTAAAACCCTGAACATTGAAGTTCCTTTCCAGCTAGCTCTACCCAGGCTTCTATCAGACAAGAGTATAAATCCTGGTGGAGGTGTCAAGAATGGTCTTCACACAGTGACTACTTCATGAAAGAAAGAAATGTATACAAACAACACATAGACACACACACACACACACACACACACACACACACACACACACACACACACACACAATTTCTCCCTGAAAAGGGGATGATGAAGGCTAGACAGAGCTTTTCCCATTTAACATCCTTTCCTACACCCACAGAGTATTTTCAATGTACCAGTAGAGGAGAGCAGACTTTGTATTGCTCAGAGACTGAAAAGCAAACAAAATCCACCTGTTCTCAGAGTCCTCAAACAAATGAGACCACATTGTTCAGCTGTTCATCTCTCTCCATTGTCCAACGTATGTCTGCTCAGTTTAGCACAACAGAGCACAGGTCTTCAACTTTGGTGTCTCACTGACTGAGTTTTGTCTAAGTATTTACCTGTGTATTATTAGGTCAGTAAAAATTTCAGATTCCTTGTCTGCAAAATGAGGATAATCCCTGTCTTGTGGGGTTTGCAGAAATTTAAAAAAGAGAATGTCTACAGCTCACTTAGCACCCAACACAGCACACAGTGAATATTCTCTCCGACTCTTCCCACCCCACCCTCAAAGGATACATAATGGAATGCAACCCACACATGCCGGCTCTCACTTGTATTTGATTGCAGGAGGCACCATCTTTTCCTAACACTCTATATTATTTCTTTTCCAATAAGTTTTCCCATCCAGGCAAAGGCATGCCAATCCCCATATCCTGGACATACAGTTCTTATGACGAACAATGAACAATTTACTAATAGGTAATAAACTCAGGGAAATAGACCATTTCTCAGCTTCATGTATATGAGGCTCATAAATGGGTTTCTCAAAAATGACCATAAGTTTCTTTAGGGCAAGAATCTATTTCTGCTTTCTTGATATTCAAAAAAAAAAGTATTCCATAAGTATTAAGCACACGAAAGCTCAATAGATATTTGCTTTGCACAACTCAGAGAGGCAAAGCTGAGTAGAAAATCCATTGGTAAACCAAGTGAGCTGAAACAGAAGGTCTTACTGGACAGGAGTTATCTAAAACTAAAACCAGGGCTGGGGAGACGCTCAGCCAGTGGAGGGCTTGCTGGGCAAGTAGAAGGACCTGAGCATGATCACCAGAATCTACATGAAGAGAAAATAAAGGAAGGGAGGGAGGAAGGGAGACAATCCAGCCAGGTGTGGTGGACATGCTTGGAACTCTAGCACTGAGAAGGAGGCAGGAGGCCCCCTGAAGCTCACTGGCCAGCCAGACTAACCAGGAAGCTGCAGGTCAACCAATGAGAGGCCCTGTCTTAAAACAGAAGGTGGGTGGCTCCTGAGTATGACACTCCCCATCCGTGTGCACATACTTACATGTATATCTGCACACACATGTGCACCCACTCAAAACACAATCACACACACACTAACAACATTATTTCATGCTAAAAAATATATCTGGATACATACATACATATATATTGCCAAGGATGATGTTAAAATGGCAAAACTTCAGAGAGCCACACAATAACAGGGTGTGCTTGGACTAGTCACTTCTGGTGCATTGTTTCTGGGAGCCTGAACTATGTATTAATGTAGGCCGCTTACCTGTCTTTTGCAGTAGCCAACTCCAGTACCGTAGCCGTCCAGCTGCAGTGACTTGACATTCAGTGAGTGCAGCCACGCCAAGGTTTCTATCACAGACACATATATAGCTGTGCGTTCTGCTGGGCTAACTCCGGGAAGTGAAAAATCACGAAAGATCCGACCCTATCAAAGGGATCACAATGGTCGGTTTAAATAGCTGACACACAAAACATACACTTTATAGAGTATGTTAGGCATAGCTTTATTTGGGAAACGTGTGAGAGGCTACATACAAAGGCAAAATACAAGGACATGCCAGGATGAACCTGAAGGCTTTAAACTGCTTAGCCACATCTCTAAATTACAAACTGTTTGAATTTGCTCTCAATGGTTTGCTCTTTCTGTGTGGAAGAGCCTCCCCTGCCCCAAGTCCCCACCTTCCTGTTTGGTCACTACCACTGTAGGTAGCTCTTCACTGACACCTAGTGGAGTGTTTAAGAACAAGTGTTTGAGGCCTACTTACTAAATTTGCTCCTTGTCCACTTTAGTCCCTCCCTCATTGTGTGTACTTGAAACAAAAATTGTAAGCCCTTAGAAAGGAACTGTATTAAAATGTTGAATAAACAACATTGACTATAATAACATTCAACTAATATAAGCTGAATAAGTAACTCCATAATTTAAAAACAAAGCAACAACTGAGTAAGACTTAACTTACCCGCACGTGCTCCATCACGTAAAATTCCGTCCCGATGACAGAAGCATCGCTGCAGTACAGCAGAGGCTTGGGAACAGGGAATCCCACGGAGAACAAGGCTTTCTGGACTCTGAATTCTCTGTCAATCTAGATGGGATTATTAAAGAACAGAAACATGGAAATTTTATAACTGCATGTGAGCTAATCTCAACTCAGGCTATCGGTTACAAAACTGTGTCAATAAATAACCCGGAGCTGACAGTAACCGTTCCCTTAGCGGGAGGCCTGTTCAGTCATTACAGTTACAAAGTGGGGCAGCTCCAAAGCATGCAAATTTCACTGGGTGAAAGGACAGGCATTTACTTGGGGCTCACTAGCGGCTCTTGTAGCATGAGGGCGACAGTCTGGCTGTACTTCACAGGTTTTGTGAAAGAGCACCCCTCTCTTCTCAGCGGTCCCCTGCTTGCTGGCTTGACATCTCCCTTCACACCTCCCAAGGGGCTCAGGGGAGATTTCCTCTAGTCAGATGCAGGAGCTGGGCGAGGTGGGTGGTGGTTGGAAAAGCCAACCATCCCTGTTGCACATCAAAGGAGAAGCATGCTTCCAAGGAGGGGGCATGACGACCCTTACAGGTACCATCTGTTGTGAAGATCCAGATAACTATGGGGGAACCAGGCAGCTAGAGCAAATTGGTATTAAAGCTGGATCCCATGGAAGACAAGGGGAAAAGTGACATCCTCGGCCAGAACACACAGGCAGGCCCAGAAAGACCCAAGAGTGTGGCTTATAGCAGAGCTGTGATACACAGGAGCAAGGATGATTCATGTGCATGGACAGTGCCTTGCTCCACAGGCAAGGGTCACTGACCAGTTCTGAGGAGGGAACACCATGTCGCTCACCTTGATATCAATGCAGCCATGGAGCAGGGGCTAACTAAACCCAGGGTGAGAACAGCCAACAGTACCAACGGCTATTGAAAGAGACGTGGGTAACCGCCCTGGTGCCAGGGAATGGGGGAGGGGGTAAGGAGCTGGGGACAAAAGAGTCAGGGGTTTACAAGCTGGACGGCAAAGCAGACATGCCATCTGTGAAAACACAGACAGACATGGGGAATGCTGAGGAAGTTAAGATGAGGTACTCTACACCTGCGGAGCTGTGCTTAGGCTGAGAGCATGCTGTGTTCTGCTGTGGTTTGGTGGAATATAGTCAAGAAGAGAATCAAAGAAGACTGCTTCTGAGGTACACATTTCTAGTCAGGGTGAGGTTCTCCTTCAGGCATGCCATGTAACAAAAGGTACCCAACTTTTTTTTTTTTTAAAGTATCCATGTTATTTCATGTTTTTAGGAATATGGCAAAGCTAAGAAAGTCAGAATCTGTGTTCTCTTATTACTATGATATTAAATCCACTCCACAATGATCTTTCCCAGTGAATGACTAGAAAGCACAAGATGTCTGGGTGGTGGTGGCACATGCCTTTAATCCTAGCACTCGGGAGGCAAAGGCAGGGGATCTCTATGAGTTCGAGGCTAGCCTGGTCTACAGAGTGAGTTCCGGGACAGTCAGGGCTATACAGAGAAACCCTGTCTCAAAAAACAAAAAACTAAACTAACAAAAGTACATGACTACAGTAACATCTACACATGCAGAGTACTTAGTTACTACAGTAACATCTACCACTCAGAGTACTTAGTTACTATAGTAACGTCTACACATGCAGAGTTACTATAGTAACATCTACACACGTAGGGTACTTAGTTACTATAGTAACATCTACACACACAGAGTACTTAGTTACTATAGTAACATCTACACATGCAGAGTTAGTTACTATAGTAACATCTACCACTCAGAGTACTTAGTTACTATAGTAACATCTGCACACTCAGGAGTACTTAGTTACTACAGTAACATCTACCACTCAGAGTACTTAGTTACTATAGTAACGTCTACACATGCAGAGTTACTATAGTAACATCTACACACGTAGGGTACTTAGTTACTATAGTAACATCTACACACGTAGAGTACTTAGTTACTATAGTAACATCTACACACGCAGGGTACTTAGTTACAACAGTAACATCTACCACTCAGAGTACTTAGAACATTCTCCTGAACTTGGATCTATGTCCTTTCCTGTTCTCTAACTATCCCAAGATAATGCCTGTTTTTGCAAACAGGGAAATTTAGTTTAGAAATTGACAAATCATGTTTGTATGTATTTATAAGGCATAGCATGATAACTTGGTTTATGTATATATTAGGTAGTGAAGAATTCTAAAATAATTAGAAAACTTAATTTGTAAGAAACATTTTTTATAATTCTCCCTGATTAGTCTAAAACTTAATACAATGATTACTCTTGTCTTTTTTTTTTAGCCACTGAATGATTAGAAGATCATTGTCCAAAGCAAATAGATTAAAATAACTCAGCAGGTAGAGATTGTCATTGCAGATGCCCTTAGTATGTAGGGGAAAGATCATCTAGAAGTGAGTAGTGATGAACACCCACACCCACAGGGAGGGATGAAGTCCGCCAGGAGACCTGGTGCTGTTCAGGATGACAGTTTAAACACAGCTCTAGATTTCATCCCTTTTTAAACAAAAGGGGTGCAGCCAAAGCGAATATTGAATTAAAAGAGGGGTGCATTTCCACTGGTCAGTAATGGTGAGAAGACTTTCAAATGCAGTTTGAATGGTCTTTGTGTTTTTCAGAGGCAGTTACTTGTGCTGGAAGAACTGCTTGCTGTGTGCTGTGCATACCTTATGTGCTTTGGGAAGAAGGGAGCCCGGAGGTTTCTTCCTGAGAACATAGGCTTGAGATCCTTTCTGGAGGAAAAAGGTTGGATTCGATTGTCCTGATCTAGAGAAAAAGGTTTTTAAAAGGTCAGTTATAAACATGTCTCCTTCCTCCTGAAATTCCACTGAAATGTCAGAAAAGATGAGAAACAAAAATAAATGGATCTCAGAGCTGGGTTAACCGCAGGGTGCCCCCAGCAGCTCATGGAGGACACCGCGGTGATACTAGATAGAGGGCAGCCTGCTGGCATCTGAGGACCCTACAAACACAACAGAAGAAATGCCTCTAACAGAGGAAATGTTCTAACAGAGACTAAGCAAACAAATGCAGAAGCCCCCTGCACTGGGGGACTATTTCCAACTCAACACAGCACTGGCTAAATCCCCCCCCCCCCACTCCACCCAGCCAGCAGTGGGAAAACACTGATGACCTCAGCATACAAACCACTGAGCTAATAGCAATGACCATTAAGAACTTGAACATGATATCTGGTACTAAAGAAACTGTTGAAGACTGAGTCCTTCTGTTTAGGTGGGCAGTTAGGGATGGGTTATTTTGATAAGATCCTGGCTGTCCATTAATATCACAAGACCCTAATATGCTACGCCTCTTTGAAGCTTAGCCTCTTTGAAGCAAATAAAAATAAGTAGTACATATAGACAGGAGAGAATCGTGAATTTCTCCAGAGTCCTTGCAGTAACCCATCAGAATGGAGGGTTTGTTCTGTCTCCTGTACCCCTGCAGGGACAGGTGAGGTGCAAGGGGGAAATGTGTGGGTCCTACCCTGGTTGAGAAGCCTGTCACAGTCCACACATGCCAATAAAACAAAACACCACAGACTAGGTAGTTTAGAAACTGCCAACCCTCACTTCTCATGGTTCTACAGTCTGAGAGGCCTGAGACCAAAGGGCCAGCCCTTGGTGTGGAGCGATGACTTGCTTCCTTATTAATGGCGCCTCACATTACATCCCCACACAGAAAGGGGCAAGGCAGATCTTAGGGAGGGGAGGAAGCCAGGCAAGGGCACAGTGCTAGTGGGTGGCTAGGTAAGTTACTTAGTGGGTGGCTTCAGCCTGACCCATGGATGCAATGTGGAGACTGGACATGGGGAGAACTCTGTAGAGTTCTCCACCTGAGAGTCGTCATCTCTCTGAAACAAGTAAGGTGCAGAGGTTACCCTCCTGAAACTGGCCAAGTGCCATCTTGGATGCAACAACATTCAGGCCAAAGGAGGCTCTGAGAGTCCGGGGACAGTCCTCAAAAGAATGACAAGAGGCAGGCGATAATTCAGTGGGTAAGGATGTAGAGTAAAAGGGCCAGCCAAAGAAATACCTCTGACTTTGAAACAAGAACCAGAGAAAGAAATATGACCTGGCCCCGAAACCAGAGCCCCAAGGTTAAAAAGGACCAGTGAAGGAAAGACACGTTGGCTCTGAAACCAAAGCCAAAGAAACACACTCTGCCACTGAGCAACTGAGCATGAAATCCAGCCAATCTCTGAGCTTGTCCAAGCTCAGGGGACTGAAATCCAACCAATTCCCACCCTGAAAATCTTCACCCTGGAAAAACTCCGCCCCTAAGAAGCCCCATGTAAGCTCTGTACCTGTTCAGTTGGCAGCTGCCCTTTTTCCACTCTGGCAGAGGCAGCCACTCTCTGGATTTCTCCCTCCCAATAAATCCCTCGAATGAGTTTTGGGTGAAGACCTTCTTTTGCCGGAGGGGCAGAGAAGTAACGACTTTCACTGGAGCAGGAGAAAACTGCTATATTTCTGCAGGATTTCCCCTTTAGTAGAGTGAAGCAGAGATTTAACAACTTTTGCCAGAGCAGGGAAGCAATGGAAATCTCTGCTGAGAAACTCCCTTAGTGGAGTGGAGCAGAGAAGCAATGGACATCTGAGGGGAAACTCTTAGCAGAGTAGAGCTGTAACAGCTCTCTCAGAGAGAAGCAGGATTGCTACATTCCTTAGGGAAAACCATCCCTCACTGGAACACAGCTATAGGTATAGCTTGGCTTCCGACAGCCAGGAGACCTTTCTCTCCAGGGATGTAGGTATAGCTTGGCTTCTGACAGCCAGGATACCTTTCTCTTCAGGGATGTAGGTATAGCCTGGCTTCTGACAGCCAGGAGACCTTTCTCTTCAGGGATGTAGGTATAGCTTGGCTTCTGACAGCCAGGAGCCTGGCTTCCAGAGTTCCATTCCTGGGACCCACATCGTAAGAGGACAGAACCAACTCTGCAAGTTGGTTCTTGATTTCTGACCTCTATGTGTACACAGCATTATATTGTACACATGCACACACAATAAAAAGTAATAATTTTAAGAGTGATAAGTGCCGGCCACTGGAGACCTGGCAAAGCTGGGTGTGTCTAGAAACAAGTATTCCTGGGAAAGCATCGGCATCCACTGAAGTAAATCCACTCTTCAAATTCATGATCACAGACCTCGACACGAGCCCACACGGCAGTCACATTTCCTCAGCTCACTAACTTCACTGCTTTTGTCCTCTGAAACCTCTGACCACTCTCTTCCACGTTCTATTGTCACAATCACCCCGTGTCACATTTGAACAAGAAAGCCGAAGCAACCAGAAGTGAACTCGCACAAGCTCCCACCGCTTAGCTGTGGCAGGACCTTCTGTACCTACACACGGAGTTCCTTCCAACAGCGACAGGAAACACTCCACCCTACTTATGCACAGCCCCATCTTTTGTGAGTAGGATTCCAGACCATTCTTGTCTTCTCAAGGTCTTTGCTCTAGAATCTTCTCTTGCACAAGTTCTTAATCGCTAGTTGGTTATCCATGAAGCCTTTTCCTGGCTCTCCTTTGTTCCCACTGCAACTGTCTTCCTCAAAGTCTGTCTTGAACCCACTCAATCAAGCTTTCGTCCCCATCTTCCCACTAAGCTGCCTTTTCAAGGTCACTAGCACAAACCATGACACTCTTCTAGTCTTTGCTGACCGCTACCTTCTCAAGGCAGCCTGCCTGCCTGCCTTGTCCTCAACACTTTCTACCCCCATACCACACATAAACCTGCAGATAATACTCAGAAATTGTGTTTGTTATTGTCTGTCTGCTTCACATAGAGTGGAGAA